TTAAAGTCAGTAGCAATAACATAATTTGCCTCAGCTGAGGATATAATTCAAGTGCTTTATAGGTGAATAAACTCTGTTATTGTGGTTTTACAAGGGGATAGCTAAGTACAGGTGTTTCTGGTTAAACAGCAAGTGAAGGGGACAAAGGAAGACCTTCTAGACATTGGCTGACCAGCAAAATGAGATGTTACTCAAGCACCGCTACCACAACTACCAGCCATGGTACACACCTAATGGTATGCTATATATGACAGCAACAGTTTCCAGTCATGTGAACGTAATTATGAACCCTCTGTTTTCCTCAGGCTGATGGGCACAGCCCTCACTGTGCCCGCAGGAAGGCAGCAGAGGTGCTCAAAGGGACAAGCACAGCTCCCTCTCTTTTGATAAGCAAGACCTAGTTCAATTTCTATATTCACAACTGAGAGTCACCATGTGCTACTGATGGCTGTTTATGAACAGTTTCAAATGTAATTTCCAGAAGAAACACTTATGCAAAAATACTTCTTACAGATCTGAAGTTGTCTTCAATCTGTAGAACTACAAAGGGATTGCCACTTATTTGAGAAATTCATTACAGGGCTGCTAACCATGGACTGATGGCTACTGATGCTAACTAGAGAGGGGGTACATAGGTTTGATCAAAACAGTAGAGCAGTTGCTAAGAGTACCAGCACCTGAGCATCTCTCCTTTGAAGCTAGACCGGGCAATAAAAGCAGAAGACGACTGTTGTGTTTTGCTGCTTCTGCCATCAGACACCATTTATTTTCTGTGCCACAACAGTCTAAGCAGACTCGTCAGTACTCAGGCCCACATCTCAGAGAGGACTGAGCAAGCATTACCGACCACTGTTCAAAGCTCTTACGATCATGGAGAGAAGCACAGTCAGCCTCAACAGATCACTTAGGGGGGTAATTTATACTCCCAGCAGTATCCTGAGGATTCTCAAAAACTGCAACGACTTCCCTCTTCCTCTTCCCTGCTCTTCCTGAGCTGAGCCCATCTCCTTTACCCCTTGCCTAAGTCACGGTATGGCTCTTGTAAGAGGCCCCTCTCTGCCCACCACTCATTAAACCTCCCCCTTGCCTGCCAGTTGATGCCAGGAGATCCCTGTCCCAGCTCTGCAGGGATGCACCAGATCTACGGCCACTGATGGAGAAAGACACTCCTTCCATCTGCGAGGGGCAGAGCCTGGGCTTCAGCCACACCATGCAGCGGTCTTGGGCTTCCTCTTTTCCTCCAGGCAGCACCTGTTTCAGGCCCCACCTGGGGGGATCTGGGAATTCGGCAGTTCCTTCCATCTACCTGGAATGGGAACAACCTCCTAAGGGCCATCAGTCTCCTGCACAAGGGGAATATTTCTGCTTCACAGTGGGAACCAACAGCTGAGGGCCAGGCAAGGGGTCTACAGAGTCTGACCACAGCAGAGGGGAATTCACTTCAAGAGAGGCCGCGACTTTCAAAACTGAAAATACAATTAAATGGAATTACTGTTTTTTCAGATCATCATGGTTTAATTAGGTTTCACATGCTTAAAAAGTCTTAAGCATGAGCTGACCACTCATTACACTGCAGGACGTTTGCTAAACCATTCATTTAGCATAACATCAGTCTTAGTTAATATGTTACTTGAAAGCAATAGGTCACAATTTGTCAGTGCCTCTGAATACTAAACTAAACTTTTCAGCCTTGCCCAGGCATTTATTTTAAACACAAATACTTTAGCATTTATTTAGCAATTCGAGATGTTCATCTGCTCACAGTATTTTCCCACTAAAGCATTACATATACCACTTGATAATACTTTAAAACCAAAAAATACAGGAGCACTGATTCACTAAAAATCCATTTACTTCTGTGCAAGTGCTGAAAGAAAAAACATCAGCTTTGGCAAAGCAAGCAAATGGAAGCTAATAGTGAAGATTTGTTTAGGAATGTCACCTTTTTGGAGTAGACATTATAGTAATAAAAAGTCAGCAGTTGGTAGTACAGACTTGAGTGTGCCGACAAAAAATCCAGCAGGTGTCAGAAGAAAAGATCTTATTCCTGGGGTGGAGATCAATTCTAAAATAACAGATATCTATCTCCATCATAAATTTCAAAAATTGAATATGCCATCCAGCAAATTTGCCCATGAATCTGATTTCTGAGTTGAAGTTTTTAGCATTGCTTAATCATTTATAAGGCAATCTTCAGACATGTATCATTTATTTCATCCCTTTAAATCAAACTTCATCAAACCTTTTTTATCCATCCCTTTAAATCAAACTTCTTTGAACCTGTCTCAGGCACTAGTTTTTGTTGAAGGCTGTGAACATGGGAAATTTGATTTTTTTTATTTACATTGAAGCTTTTTTCTTCTTTCTTTTCCTTCTGGTTTCTGCTCACAGATGTGTAAACTTAGTTTTCACTTCATGAAAGTTTGTCATAAATTTTGTCTTAGTCTTCAAAATGGTAAGTCTGTCATCACTATGAGAGGAAAAGGAATGGCTTTGTTACTCCACCCTCATTCTCCAACTGTGCCTGAAAATCAGAAATCAAACCCAGTCCAAAGCTTCTCACATTGTCTTAACTCTGCAGGCTGGCCAAATTCTTCACGTCAGTTGGGTTGTTATCAGTGTCTCTAATGCCAAAAGGGGTAGGTGAATGATGAATACCTGTGACAAAGAAAAACCTCCCATTCTGAGTGAGCATAGACAAAAGTTGATCAGAATGAGGTTATTAATACTCTCAGGGTGAATCTAGAAACCTCAAGGGAACATGCTTTGCCTTCCACTGAACGCCATTTAAAAGCAGAGTGAAACATACTCCCCAAGTGAAAAATACACCTATCAAACCCAGAAGGCTGTGATTTTTGGAATTATTTAAGTGCTTAAAAGACAGTTTTGGCATACAGTATCTTTATAGCCACAAGGGATTTCAGTTGTTGCTACTGTGGTACTGTCAATACCTTACCCATCAACTCGCCTCCTAGTTACTCTGATGTTACACTTAAAGGTAGCACATCTGACCCTTTGAGGTCAAGCAAGAAGACTTGGTCAGGGATTCTGGCCACCAAAACTGTAAAAAAGCTTTATAGTAGTAAAGGAAATTCTGGTCCACTTTTCATGCTACACAGGACAGGATGAGGGACAATCATACACAGTCTTGGCCCTATCCTTCCACAATATGTTAGACAGTTCATGGACAGTGAAGTTCAGAGCTTCAAAAAGCCTACAGCTCTTTAGGCAAGATTTACCTTTCTGATTAACTCTTCTCCCACTCATATCACCTCCTTTTTGAAATCAGTTTTTCAGCACCACAGAGCAAAACTAAAGTTCCAAAACTGCACAAACTGTATGTAGCCTGCGGCATGCTAGTGTTGGAATTATTATTTGTACTACTGGAGAAGGTAGAGATGCCAAATTACTGTGCTAGATGCTGTATAAACACACAATTAGGAGACAGACTTGCTTCACAAAAGAAGAACAATGTCTTGCTTGTATCTATTTGGTTGTTGTGTGGAATAAATGAGCAGCAGCCTTTGAGTGAGTTGAGTCAACTTGCTCAGAATTTGATAGCAGATAATGAGGGAAAATACCAATCTCTCCTCTGTTTCCTTTGACAAGACTGGGCAAAGGCGAAAGAGTACTTTTAAGATCACCATACAAACCCTTAAGAAGAAAGATCCAAACAAATGGCATTGCTTTGCATTGATCACTGTACTTTGTTATTAAATGCAAACATGGGCATTCTTACTGTTTTTTTTTTAAAAAAACCTCTTAATATCGGCTTCCTGCTAATTGTTTTGTTCTCGTTTCTAATCTAAAATTCTGACAAAGAAGAAAGGGGTTTTCTTTAGCATGATGAATGATAGGACATTCAGATTCCTACTTAATGACAACTAATTTACTGTATACCCATGCAAGTTAAGATAGTTTTAATTAGTTTTTACAAAGTAAAAGGGTAACTTCATACTCTATTTAGATAAAAGCAGCTATTGCCTGACTAAACACATTCTCATCAAATACAGAAGGTGAGCTGAGTGACCTTACTAGGATTCACTCTTATTTTAATTCTCTATTTACTGTTTAAAAATAACCCATTTGCATAATACTGCTACACATTTTTTGTCTTTAACTCTGAAATAATCCCTAATTGAAAAGTTGCTGCTATAATGAATCTCAAATGTGTGATCTTAATTTTTAAAAACAAATACAAAACAAATTAAAGAGCACATTTCAGATATATTGTAGCTAAAGCTGGTGACAGCAAATATCTGTATTAGAGATAGTGTTTAGGTACCTTTTATGAATGGGCTGAAGTTACAGGCAAAGGTCAAAACATTTTCCCTCAAGTAAGAAGTGATAACATATTGGGATGCAAAAACCGTAATTCTATGTAGATTACAGCATATACAATCTGTACTAATACATGGAGGTCCTTTGTGCAAATGCCATTACTTGTATAAGTACTGCAATGTCTTCTGTTTTTCTTAAGTCTTCTGACGTACATCTGGGTATCTATCTTCCTGTAGACTGAATAGACCCATTCAATCAAGTCTGCCTCCAAACACATGGCTTGGTACTACTACCTACATGCATTCAGAAACTCTCTCCCAATAGGAACCAAAACCACTGAAAGTATAAAATACCGCAGCTCATTGCAGGAGGGGTTGGATTAGATGACCTTTAAAGGTCCCTTCCAACACAAACCATGCTACGATTCTAGGAGCCCTTTACTTCAATGAAGTCATGTCCATTCATACAAGCTGTGGATTTGTCCTTGCAAACTAGTACACAGCAGCAGACTTACGTTACCCGAACCATACATAATAGAGTTTCTATTCTACAAGATATTATTAATATGCATCAAATGCATTAGCAGCATACCTCATCTCTCCTTATTCCTCTCAAAACCCAAATCGGGAAGTATCATATTCTTAAGCTTTCAAGTGCTCAAGCCTGCACATTAATTTCTGGTTTAAGTCCAGACTACTTGTGTGGGTTTATTACGGTTCTGAAGTGGGTTCAAGGTATATTCATTATTGCAAAATCACTATGCACACTATCAGTGCAGTGAGACTGACAACAGAAACTGAATTAAAAAAACCCTTCACTATCAAGGTAACAGAATGAAAATAGTTTCCCTGCCCAGTTCCACAACTATCTGTCTTGCCTGATTCTTGTAAAAATTGTTGGTCAGTAAACTACTTCACACTCCCAGGCATGTGTTTTGTAGAGGTAGCTAGCTATATTCCCATGCGTTCCAGAAGTGAACCTCCCAACTCCCACACTCCTTGAGATCAGCGGCTATGGCATGCAGCCAACAGCAGGCAAGAAGAAACTGCTTGCTAACAAAGATTTTAAAAAACTGTCAGACAAGGTGGTCTACTGCTATTGTATTGCTTTGTACTACCAAGCAAGAGTCAACAGTCACCACCTTTTCTTGTCACCACCTTTTACTTCCCTTGTTGGAAGGAACCGAGTACATCCCAAAATGCATGTAAGGAGTGCTCTGCATAACCCTTCTGGCTGATCAAAAGCAGCAGTAGTAAGCAGTTTGGAATGGGGTGCTCTCTCTTCCTCCTTCGCCAGAGAAAGGGAAACAGATCAGAGGTCTAGAAGATGCTGAAGGGGGTAAAGAAGGCTCTTAATATTAGGGAAAACTAAGTCAGGATCCTTGAGAATTCAGAAAACTGCTTCACCTTATAAGTGGTCTCAAAGTCTATTGGTCTATGATACACAACTTGTACGCATGGCTACCACTCTCCAAAAAGGAGGGGAGCATGCTCTCTTAACAGAAAAACAGATGTAAAACTTCTATTAACAGAGAGCTCATCAGGGAAATACGCTAATGGTGAAAATGACTTACTGACTGTGAATAGAAAAGGACATTTTCAAAAGCACTCAAGCCCTCTTGGAAATAAAATTTGTAACCTGTTTTCAGGAGCAGTCCTGTTTGTCTTTCTACTTACTTTCAAAATTTACTTTTAGACTTGACGTAACCCTCTACATTTGGGAATCAATGCTTTGGCCTTCCAGCCTCATGAGGAGGCTTACGTTGACTCCCACTTCTCTATCTGCATGGAGACCTTTTGGGTCAGACCAGGAACAACCCACATGGTTCCCTTTGCAGGACTGTCTATATTTCTGGAAAACGTCACTTACTATCCATGGCGTGAAGATACTCCATATGAAGAGCACCGGCTCCAGCAGTGGCAGCTGAAGGAATGATGTCTGCATACGGGCTGCGCTGGCCTGCCAACAGAGCCATCTGATGGTAATATTCAGCTGGACTGACACCAGCATGTGGAGCTAAAAACACGACATAAAAAGCACCGTTAATGACGTAAGATAAACGAGAAGGAAAGTTTTATCACATTGCTGGTTTCTCTGGAAATTAAAACTGCTTGTTTATTTTTTTTGATGTAATGCAACATCTGCAGTTGCCACCACTGGTCAATGTATTTCAACCAATGATCCTGCAAAGACACCATTCAAAAAACAGCACAGCACAGAACATTAATGAGCTCGGTGATCTCATTTTTTTATATTTATTATTAAGTGACTCAAAAAGTGACAGGCTGACAGCAATGGAAACCAGTATGATTTATTTAGTGACATAAAAAAGCAGGAAAACCTTCCTGGAGCTTTATTCCCATTTACCTCATCTGTGGCCCAAAGGACTCCCGTCTCTAAGGTAACAGTGCGGCTGAACTTCTGTAACATTCAAGTTTCTGGAGTGTCTGCTTAGAGGACCAGAAGATTTTCATTCACAGTGGCAGTTTTTGTATAAGTTTAGGAGTAAAGAAGGACAAAGCACGTTTTCAGGACAAATACTGGTTGTCCATGAACAACACAGGGGCAGATTTTTTTCTGAGGACAGACTGAAGTCAATGAATACGGCCATCCCATCCTTCAAAGTTCATATATAAGTGTACTTGACATATAAGTATGTTTGCGGAGTCAAAACCATGGACCGGATAGGCTCTACATCCTCCTAGTGAGCTTATGAATGATGCAGTCCTCTGATAATGACTTATATTAGCCTTTCCCTCCTGTAAAAATAACGTGTGACCTTTCTCTTCCCCTGCAGTTTTCAAGCATGCCATCGACCAATGGGCAACTCTGAACAAACACAGAAATCCACATAATTTTAGTATCAACTGAGCAGGCTTCAGATGCTACAGTAAGTAGAGGGTCATTTCATGGGCTTGCGTGAGAAGTACTCATAAAATAACATGGGCTCCATCTCTTTAATCCTGACTCTGACTTGCTATGCGACCTAAGGTGAGCAGCCTTCCTCTCTGCTCTCTACATGTCCCGCTTACAAAAAAAGTTAAAATTTCCTTACACTCTGCACACCAGAAGACGGTATGTAAGTTTGCCTAAAACACTTTAAGTTCCTTAGGTTAACAGGATACACCCCAACATACTATTTTCATATTTTTTCATATTATTTAATGAGATGTTTATTTGATCCCAGAAACCGCACCTTGAATGGAAACAAAATTTTAAGCTGAAATTCTTTGAATTACCACCTTAACCTGAATATTGTTACTTACACAGTACTACTAAAAAGGCAAATTTATGTTTAGATTAGAGACTCAGATCCTAAATGCAAACCTTAGAAGCAAAGAATCAACTTTTATACTAAAAGGAGGCAAACATGTCATTGGAGTTTGGAGAAAAGTTTATTCAGCAATGGCATTTCTAAAGTGTATAATCAGTCTTTATTGAAAAATAAATGGAAGAATGCGCTTTTGATGTTACAATGTTAAATACAACCAATTTCAGGGAAGGCTGTGAAAATAAAAGAACGTCAAACAGGAATAGGAATGGCATAAAAATGAGCTGAGATAAATTAAAGCTTGTTGGTATTTTTTTCCAAGTTACAAATTGATTTCTCAATTAAATATAATCTACTTCAGCCACCACCACTTGCTCTGAAAAGGCAAGAAATATACTCAGACCAAATTTTAAAAGAGGAGTAACTCACATTGAATCACTAATTTTAAAAGTTTTACAGTAGTAGGCAACCACCATATCTTTCCAGACACACTTAAAATACTTCCTGAGCTCTCTGACATAAGTGTCTGGGTTAACTAACAATAACATTGGCTGCAAACTTTAAAATGAACTGCTGCAGAAAACATAGTGAGCACATAATTGCATTACTAAATGTTCCATATGCTGAGAAATGCTCTGGTGCTCTTTAAAGATCATTCTTTACTACCTTCTTCAAACATAAAAAATTAGCCTACTAAATGATGTATTGCATGAAGGGTAAATGAAGGGTAAATGGGCAGGCCCGCAGCCTTGAATTTTCCCCTGTTTGTTCTTGGGTAGCTTCAGCTTTGCCCCTGCTTTTTTTACAAAGGAAGGCGTTTGCTTCTGCATTGTGGGAACTTCTGAGCTTTATTTGAGCACTCTGCTCTGCGCACACCAACAACTCCATCCTTACCCCTGCCCCAAACCCTCTGTGTTACTCGGAGGAGTCCTCAGCCACCCCTGGCCCACCGACTCTGCTGGGAAAGGTGAAGTGACAGGACAGAAGACACTCTACCATTACCGCTGCTGTGGCAGACATTAATTACAGCTGGCAAGACTTGTAGTGAACATGAAACTGCTCTTTGTTATGTTCCAGATTGTTTTGGCTCCCGGCCACCCCCAGATCTGTGAGTTGACAGACTGAGCCCAATAGCACACTGACCTAATTATCTAATGGGCCTAAAGCAATTAGGGTAGCAAGAGAAATCTTGCTATGACTTTCAGAAGAACAAGAACTTATGAGTTTTCATAGTTCAGATGCTACACGACTTAAGCCATGGTGTTCATGACATTATTAGTACATTACGTGCGTGTACCCCTTCAAATCACAGAGGTTTTTTATTTGCATTCTAGTAGTGCCCAAGCCATGACTTGGACTATCTGATCACAGGAACCTGAAAAAAGCATTTCATTGTATGTCTGACTGATCACACAACAAGCCATGGCTTCCAGAGAACAAATGTAACACCTTTTCAATAAGCACATTGTCTTACTGAAATATCTCCAATGCCTCAATCAAGTTACTGTATTTTCACGAGGTCCTGCACAACACCTGGTCTGCGATGAGTTGTGAGCTTAGAGGAAACATAAACTAAGATGTATTTGTTTAAAACCCAAAGAATGAAGCTTAAGCTTGTCAGTTTAGCTTGTATTTACAAAAGGCTAAGTTTGTGTGTACAGTCAGCAATCAAAGCTCATGGGATGAGCGTTATGATAGAGTGTACTCAATTGTGTTGTCCACACCTGAATGTCTCATGTCATCTGAAAGCCCCTGGGTATTGAAGGCACCTACATGAGGCTGGCTGATATGACAGAGGCCTTAGAGGAGAAAACTGCCTTTCTGGGGTGGCAGCTGGAGTCGAGGCAAAGTATTTCACAGACCTGAACTGACACCAAACACCTACGCTGTAGGCAGACGAATCTTAGCACCATTGTAGTTACGATGGAGCTCCAGACTCGGCTGGTAACATGCAAGTGTTTGTATTTGGGTGAATTGAATACTTCTCTAAGGCTTCACTGACTGCTTTACCTCAATCTCACTGGACTATAATGGCAAAACAGCACACCAAGACCACATATTTCTATACTGTAGAGACCTAAATTTAGACACCAGAATCTGGAACCAAATTCTACCCTGAGACACCCTAGACTTTCATAGAGATTACCACTGGCATGGTGAATATGGCAAAGCACCTCTAGGAGATCTCTGCCTTTCTGGAGCATCAGTTGGGTGTCAGGTCAGACACCACTATGTACCTACATCTGTGCAAGTGAGTTCAGTGTTGTGTACCTGAGACGAGGAGCGTACACAGGCTAATGTCATATGGTTGTGTAATAGGCCGTTTCCTTCCCTCCTTTCTTTGTATGTGCAACTGGAGTATACCTTAAGGATAAATGAAATTCTGCAGGAATGTCATCTGAAGATTACTGAAGGAAAGATAGTAAACTGTTTGCATATTAGCTTTTGATAAAAGCCAAAATATACATTGCAAGAGTTTTCCCAATTTATGCCATTACATTATAGCTCTATCATGTTTATCCCATATCAAAAGCTCCAAAGCTCCCCAAGACAAAACATGTATTGCAGAGCATTGAAATTGTTCCTTCAAAATATTCTCTTTTTTTTTTTAACATTTTGGCTAAAATGAAAAGGGTAGAATTAGCAAGGATTCATACAACATCCAAAGTGCTCCTAGGAAAGCTGTATGTGCATGCCATATACCTTGACTGACAATAGGCCATTAAAATTCATTCTCATAAGAATATGTGCCCATAACTAATGGATTAACTGTAAAGGTATATGTTCTTATAAGCGAGGATTAATTAGTTATCCGTTTGGATAGGGTGCACCGCTCATTTTTCAAACTCAGCTAAAGGCAGTTTAACTCTGGTAAGAAGATCTGGGAAGATCTTTCCCATAGGTAAAGTAATAGTTTAATTATCTTCACTACATATTTGTTTGGGAGTATGTTGTATTTTAGCTCTCTTCAGCAAATGCTACATTTTTGAAATGTTAAGCTACTTACTCTGTTATTGAAAAACCTACTGTTAACAAGACTGAGCCTTTTTGGAACTCCATTCATTGCTCACTTTGGCAAAATTCCCATTGAAATGAATAGGAAATGTGCCAGAGTAATGACAAGAGCGATTGCAGGAGTTCACTTCAACCCAAATAACCTGGAAAGTAATAGCCATGGTCACACCAAGACCTAAAGCATCAATATTTTAGGTATACTGTCCACCATTTAAACTAAAGGAACTAGTCCTGATAATCAGCCATTTCTACATCAGCACCATTTCATTTGGCCACATCTTTGGGTAGGGTAAACTGAAATAATTCTACATAATTTTAACAGAACTATTGACTAAATATAACAAGTCAGTACATGCTTTACATGATCAAAAAATACTATTTTAATTAACAAGCCTTTCGCACCTGATAAACTCCATGGTAAAACCCTGATCTATGCTCACAAAGAAACTGGCTCGATTCAGTGCAGATACAGAGGATTTCTTGGGAGATCAGAATCACACCCTGGGTCAGCACCACAAACAAAAGATGTCACAAGACATATGCCACCCTTCCAGCTTAAATTTTGAATGAGGCAGGGCTTTTTTTTTTCTTCTCCCTGAAGTTTCAACATTTCTGAGATGTACAAATGAGCCGTGATCGGCTGATGAAGTATTGAAACATTTATGACATAATGAATATGTCTGACAAACCTGCTGAAGCTGCTTTGAACAAGGGGGAAAAAATGTTGACAAGATTAATATAACTTAAGTTGCTACCATGACAGAAAACAGGAAGCCTGTCTTAACCCACCGTCTGTTGGGCTGAGTCCGCGGGCTGCCGAGATCATGGAGAGGGACGGGCTGCTGTGCAGGGACCTGATGTAGTCCATGTAGGGGTTAATGTACGGGTGAGGGGTGCTGAAGGGAGACTCTGATGTTGCAGCAGGATTTCGGTGTGGGGAAATTCTAAGGAATGGAAGCTCTGAGTATGTCGGGCTACTAGATAAGGCAGAAGGCCTGGAAGAAAAAAGAGAGAAAACCAAACAAAAAACAGCCACGTTATCTATACAATAAAGAAAAATACTGTAAAGGTAACACATTCACTTCTTGAAGAATAACAACTGGGTTGCACATGTAGTAACTTCCACTAAAGTCAACTGCCTGGAAAGAAAAAGTATAGCAAATGAATTTTTCTCTGTACCCATTATTAGCAACATTTCTATGACCAATTTTAACCTGAGTTTATATTTGGTTTAATCTTTACATCCCTCAAGACACTTTCCCATGGAGTTCAGCAGAAAATCACTTTAATTAGTGTGAAATACGCATCCTGTATACCATGCATTAATTCCTTCTGCAATATGGAAGACATACTGAGATGCTGAATCATTTACATTTTCAAAACCACGTGGCTATTGGAAGAAGAGTTTTGAGAGCTACACAGCGCTCACTCCATTCATTTGCCAGCTTACTGCTCCTGAAAGTGTAAGATTCCATGTTTATACAGAAGTAATTTCAGAAGACCCAAACTCTGTAAGCCATTAAGACAGCTGCGCCCTTTGGAGCATTTTTTTGTTGATGTCCCTTCCCATGAAAGATGCAGAAAACTTGGTGGCAAAGGAAGAAACACTGCTGAATATGTTTGGCTTTAGCATGGCATCAGAGGCTGATGCCTTTAACAAGACCACATTAATTAACTACCTCATTCTTGCTAAAGGAGAGCTGTGGTACCTTCTCAGGCTACATGTATGAAGCTGTGATGAACCAAGGTTGAAAGCTGAGTTCACAGCTGACAAAAGATAAATAACCTACCGTAACCCTCCCCATCATCCCACCCTGTCAATATGACAGTGTCCGGGCTCTGCATAGAGAGTCTTCTCTCACAGCATCCCGCCTCCAAAGGCACTGGAAGAAGTCCAGATTTCATCAGAAGGGGTTGGAGTGCCTGCCCTTGCCAACGTGCTCTTTGGCAAAAGACAATGATTAAGCCTGTCATGCATTTGCTGTAGTCTAACTGGTTGACCCGAACTAAATGCCTTTTTGTCCCTGTTTTTCCAATTAATTTAGCATGTATACAGCACAGACACAGGCAGCAGCTGTGACAGCAGTGAGGGCAGCCTGTTCTTTTGATGATGCTGGCTTACAAAGAATAATAAAACAAGAAATGTATTTTTTTTTCCTTTAACATACACATACCATGATCAATGGAGATAGTTGTCATCACCTAAAAGGTCAATAGAACACAATCTTACACAGGAGCCAGTTCTGCCCTGCCATCAGCTCAGAAATGCTAGTGTATGAGTGGGACAAAGATCAAAGTTACGCATTCCTAACATGATGCCACAAAATCCATCACTTCTCATAAAATCTGGGGAATAAAGATTTTTCCTGTTGTGCTTTTCTTCCTCCTTTCTCTTCCCTTCCTTATTTGGCTTTTGTGTGTTTCTTGCCCTCCAACAGCTTTCTGCAAGGTAAACCTGTTTAGCTTTTCTGTATGAAATTACCTCCTAGCTCCCAAGTTTGTTACAGAGCTGCATTCAATGTGCACAAGCATCAGGTACCGGCAGCGCAATCACTCCTTTGGCACCCGAGCAAGTAGCCCAGCCACTCACTGGTACCCCTTCACCGTATTTAAAACGCACGGAGAGCCTGAAACCAGAAGCTGTTTTCCACCACCCTGCAAAACAGGCACCTTCCTTAGAGCATTTTTTTCTCTGTTTGGTTTTGAATCACCTTTGCTTTATGGTGGAAACGCAGCTTTACTCTTCCTGGTACTGTGAAACCTGACCAGCCATGAAGCATTTGCCATGTCGTGGTTCCCTGTCAGGCCATCTGTGGAAGGCAGGAGCCTTAAAACTCACGGTGATGTAGGAAGCAAAAATACCACGGCTAGCTATCACATTACAGAGTGAATTTCCCATCCTGGCAGTGAGGAAAATACAGTAGTGTAGCAAATTTAATACAAGGGTAACAAAGGAACTAAGTTTGGATGTTATTTTACAAGTAATTTTTTTCTCATGTGATCTCAACTCAGAAAGAGTTAGAAACCCAAAGAGCATGCAGGCAAGCAGGAGCCCTGGCCTTATCTGGTGCATATCAAGCAGAAAACTGTTTAAAAGCTTTTGCAAGAAGGCTGAAAGTCTGTATCAGCCTCAGTGATTCACTCTCCAGCTGGCCAACAGCCAAACGCTGCTGCAGGAGCAAGATTAAGAGTCAGGCTGTCAGCTTCTCCCTCCAGATCCAACGGTAGCCATTCAAGGACACTGGGACTCAACCGCTTCTCCTCCTCCTCAGCCGTGCCTCTTCTTCTCTCCGCTCCTCTGAGCTCCTCAGTTTCCCAAGGATGCTAGGGAAAGGACGTCGACCTGGCTAGCATCAACCGACAGCAGGCATATAAGCTGTATTATCAGAGGCAGAAATAAGGAGTCATCAGATTCTACATAAAATTCCCAGCTCTGGACTCTCATGTTTACTAATCACTCTCCAACATCTGATTTTAACGTGCTGCTAACTTTTCCACTCACTTCCAGCCTGTACTTTTCTCACTTCTCTGTGTTTCTGGACCCTCCTTTCCCTATAGTCCCATTTTCCCTTCTGCCTCCATCTGCTCTCAGCTCCCACTGTCTGAGCCCTCCTGATTTATTCCAATAGATGTCACATATTCTTCCCTTCCTTCCCCTCCATAATAAACCTCAGCATTCCCTCTTTCAAACTAAAATATGAATTTTAGAAAGGGTGCAGCCAAACACACTTATATTAGCTGTTGCTTTCTAGTACTGCATCTCACCTTGTGGCAACCTCTTTGTATATCAATAAATCAGACTTTTGTCCCATGTGTGTAACAAAGAGTACAGCCCAGGAGCAGCTCTGCAGACGCTCATTCAGCGACAAGCAAATCAAGTCCCCCCCCATCATCTTTACTTCACATGTACTTTGTCCCCAGCCTTGGCAAATTGTGTTCTGCCCTGGGTGTGAAGGCTACTTTGTGGGACTTCAGTGATACTGCTGGAAACTTTATGCCTCACCTGTCATCCATGGGAAGGCAGAACTTGCTCTGCATCCTCTCCTATTTACTCCTATTTACTACCTGACAGGAGGCTGTAGTGAGGTGGGTGTTCGTCTCTTCTCCCTGGTAACGGGCAATAGAACGAGGGGGAATGGCCTCATGTTGCACCAGGGCAGGTTTAGGTTAGACATTAGGAAAAGTTTTTTCACTGAAAGGGTTGTCAGGCATTGGAATGGGCTGCCCAGGGAAGTGGTCAAGTCCCCATCCCTGGAGGTATTTAAAATACAGGTAGATGAGGTGCTTAGGGACATGGCTTAGTGGTGGGATGGCAGGGTTAGGTTAACAGTTGGACTTTATGATCTTAAAGGTATTTTCCAACCTAAAAGACTCTATTCTATTCTATTCAGGGGTTTTCCTGTTCAATGACATACTCAGAGCACTAAGGCTTCCTTCAGAGAGAGTGACTGAAGCAGATGCATGCTCTTTTCTGAATCAGGACCTTTGTGTCTGCTCCTAGAGATCCTGCAAACTCAACTCAAATTTAATACAAAGCCTATCATACTTTCAATACCTATTTGAAGTTGGAGGTCTCCAGGTTTGGGAGTAAAAAGAGATCCTATGGCTGTGTTTTATCACTGCAATTTTCATCCTGGCACATTAGGCTGATTTAATTATTTTCTCAGTAACCTTGATTACATCTACACCCCTGACGGAAAAGAGAAGCATCAGAGAACGGGGCTGAGAAGGTGTCTCCTCCTTTCTGTCCAGACTGCCTTCCTGTTCACCACTAAGGTGCCAAAACACCGTGAATGCCACATGGCTTCCATGCCTAGCACAGGTCTTCCCACTCCCCACCCATCTCCAGCCTGCCACCTTCTCCCTGTCAAGACTGATGCTCTGGAGAGTCTCAACTGCTCAGCAGGGGAAGGGTGCACGCATGCCGAGGCAGTGAGATCAGTGTAAGGGCAAACAGGTGTATTTTTTCTTATTAGTCATGACCCTTCTTTGGACAAATATTGCAAAGGTGTCTGCATAGTCTTAAAAACTTACATAGTCACACCAGTTCAGCAGCTGCGAACAGCATCAGATATATGGCAAATCACAAAACGCATGAAGCCACTTATTTTTTTTTTTTTTAATGCTTTTTCTGGCCACCTCTGAACCAAAGGT